CTTAAAAAAGTATAATGATATTTGGATACATGAGCCTCAGTGGCGCAGTGGTTAGAATGCAGTACTGCAGGCTACTTCTGCTCACTGCTGTCTGCCTGCAATTTGGCAGTTCAAATCTCACCAGGCTCAGGTTGACTCATCCTTCCGAGGTCAGTAAAATGAGGACCCAAATTGTTGGGGGCAATATGTTGACTCTGTAAACTGCTTAGAGAGGGCTGTAAACCACTGTGAAGCAGTATATAATAAGTACTATTGCTATTGTTATGTATCACAGCAGCAGGCTAGATAGCAGGAGATTGTAAACTCAAGTCCTGCCTTAACCATGAAAGCCATCTGGGTTACATTGGCCAATCACTCACTCTCAGCCTGATCAACCTCACAGGTTGATATCAGCCTGATGGATCCCAGGTTGATTCAGCCCAGATTGATCAATCTCAGCTCAACCAATCTCACAGGGTTGTTTTTGTGGGGAGATTGGTATTGGTGGGAGATTTGTACTGTAAAATTGGTGAGAGTCTCTTAATATACAATAATGTAAAATTAGCTTATGTAGTGATGTTTCCCATCTGGTCTACTTGGGAGAAGATTAGTCTGCCAACTTTCTTATTGAGAACTCTGTGCTTCCTCCCGCCCCCCAAGGCATTTATGAATAACCTCATTGTTTGTTTTGTGTGTGTTTGTGTGTGGTGTGTTCCAAAATGTTTCCTTTAATAGGCAAATTTGCTCAATTATACTTTGTCAACACATATTCTTTTTAGCATACGATTTATCAATCTATCTAAACCTTTTTCACTTGTGAAGATAGTGGTAATACTTGTTCTCTCAACTCACTATACTTGCAAATTAAACAACTGTGGATCTTGATGAATGTATTTTTTTCTTTTTATGTACACTGAGAGCATATGCACCAAGAAAAATTCCTTGTGTGTCCAATCACGCTTGGCCAATAAAGAATTCATTCATTCATTCATTCACGAAATGTGTTTCAAATGTGAAAAGAGCACCTGGGATAAGAAACCAAGTTCTTTGTTTTTCACAATTCCTGGATTTTTATTCTAGTTCCATCCATTTCTGGAGAAGAATGAGTTTTTCAATATTTCCCATTGGAAATTGTACCTGGACCAAAATGGAGAGGTGGCAACAGATCTGAATGTCATAAGCTGGGTGCTTATTCCTGGGTACACTCCCCTTGATGAGCAACTGGGGAATTTTCAGAGGCAAAGATTTACTATCAATGAAGAAACTCTATCATTGCTAAAGTCGGTCAACAAGGTAGAAGAACGCTCTGCAATGTTTTGTATGGTCTTGAAAAAAACCTTTGCAGATCCTACCACTGATAAGTTTTTTTTCTTCACCACAGTTTTTTTCTATTTTCGTATATTTAATAGAATAAATGTTTAATAAATCTTTCAGAAAAAGAATTATTCTAAAATTTTACATTGCATACATTGCCCTGCTTTAAAATCATGGATATATGAAGAATAGTGGAATAAATTTTAATAAAACTTTTTTTAAATAAAGAAAGAAATACTGATTGTCACTTAACGCTTAAATCTTTTCTAACCCCCATCCCTCTTAACATTATTCAATAGAAAAGTCCTTTATTTTAATGTGATATTCCAAAAGCAAAAGAGATGAACTAAGTGAAGAACCTGTCAGTAGTTGTATCTCTTGCAACTACTTGGAACTAATTGAAGGGTCCAGACTTACAGTTGGACTTCAGTTTGCAACCATAATCCATTCGCGGACTATGGTTTGCAACACTGAAACGTCGCCAAGATACTCTTAATCTTGCACGGGAAAAGACCCGAACACACCTAGACCTAATTTATCCATTTCTGTATAACTTGAAATTTTTTGAATAATCATTTCCTCTGATGGAACATGATGTTCTTTCCAACATTGTACAAAAGCCAATCTGGCTGCTGTCAAAATAGGTACTGTTGTATACTTCACTTTTGGGGGGAATTGTTTATTAAAGATCCCTAATAGAAAGAACTCTGGTTTGAATTAGTTCTGTTCTACTGTCATTTCCTCCAATCATTTTCTAATTTTCTGCCAATATTTCTGAGCATCTGTACAAGACCACCACATATGAAAGAATGTTCCCTCCTTTTTTCTTTTTTTTCTTTTTTTTGCATTTCCAGCAATTTGGACTCATGTTGGGGTGCATCTTCACTAGTCTCGAGCGGGGAAGGTGCCTTCTATAAAAAAGTTTATAGGTGTTTTCCTTGTACGCTGTCGATTTTGTGATTTTATTATTTCTACTACAGATCTTCTCCCATTCTGTTAAGGTGATACTATGTGCTATATTCCTACTCCAGGCTGTCATATTCCCTTTGACAATTTATTCCTCTAATTCTGTCTCTAGTAGGTAATTATAAAATTTTGTTATATTTTTTTTATCTGGGCCTAATGAGATTCTGTCTAGTTGCTGAAGTTTATTATTGATTCCAAATTCTTTCTTATCCTATTTGTATCTATTCTGGACTTGAAGATATGCCCATCGATCAATTTGTAATCCCTGGTCTTGAAGATCTTTAAATAATGTTTTTTTTCCCTTATTTTCTTCCAATTAGTCAGTGATGAATCTCTAATTAAGTGTTTGTGAAAATATTTTTGGCTGGTTTTCCCAATATCCCATAAAAAAGCATGTCACCCCCTCTGTAAGTCGTGGCTTTCTGAAACTAATATTCTCTTACTAGTTAAGTTCACCCATTCCTTCAACCATACTAAGGAGGCCGCACTATAGTACAACTCCCAGTTTGGAAGGGCCATCCCTCCCCTGCTCTTCATATCTTGCCTTGTGTCAGCACTTATCTAAGGGAAAAACAGAGTCTCTTTGGCTAACGTTCATTTTGACCTTTATTTTCTATGAATGCTTAGTCCTAACATACTTTCTTTGACATTAATTGTTTTTCTGCTTAGTCTCTGCCTCAGTCCAAATGTGTGGAAAAATGTCATCCTGGATTTGTCAAACGGGTTCGAGAAGGAGAGCCAGTTTGCTGCTATGACTGCGTTCCTTGTCCGGAGGGAACCATCTCCACTCAGGAAGGTAAGGGACACCAAAGAAAGAAGCAGGCATTGGGGGAAATAGATTCATCCAGAGCATTTTTCTGGAAGTACAAGTTAAGAGACAGGTTGAAGCTCAACTGTTTTCTTCTTTATTTTGAAAGTGCACAATTTCTTATCTAATGGGAATAAAAGCAAAATGATCTTGGAAGAAAAGGTACAAAGAGATAAGAGGGTTTGCCATATAAAGCAACTGTATTATGACCAGAGGTGGGTATTCAGCAGGTTCTGACCAGTTCTAGAGAACCGGTAGCGGAAATTTTGAGTAGTTCAGAGAACCGGCAAGAACCACCTCTGACTGGCCCCACCCCCACCTATTCTCTGCCTCCTGAGTCCCAGCTGATCATCTGGGTCTTCTTTTGTTGTCCTGCACAAGAGAACAGAGCTGGAAAGCAGGTTAGTGGAGTGGGGAGGATTTCACAGAATCCTTTCCCTGGAGTGGAGTGGGAATGGAGATTTTGCAGTATCCTCTGACACACCACCAAGCCATGCCCACCAAGCCATACCCACAGAACCGGAAGTAAAAATGTTTGAATCCCACCATTGATTACAACTGTATACAATATCTCTTCTAGATTTAGTTTGAATGTTTCATTCCATATTTTGACTTTTAGAAAAATCAGATTGTTTGAAACTTGAGGAAATATATTAGTATAATCATGGAAAGTTTCTTGCAATATATTCTATATGGGATCCCCGATGACCTTGTCAGGATCACCGAGAAGTTATTACTGTTCCGCAATGAGGTGCTGTGGATTGTTATGGAGAATCTCATTTCTGCCATATTTCCACTGCTCCTGTTAGCCATTCCAGGTCCATGACTAAGACTTTCTCTGCCACCTTGCTAGATTTCACAAGGTAGTCCAGTGTATGTTGGATAACCATTTGTCTAAAGGTTTGTAGGGTTTCCTACATAAGCAGGGGGTTGGACTAGAAGACCTCCAAGGTCCCTTCCAACTTTGCAATTCTATTCTATTCTATTCTATTCTATTCTATTCTATTCTATTCTATTCTATTCTATTCTATTCTATTCTATTCTATTCTATTCTATTCTATTCTATTCCATTCTATTCAACATTAAAATAAGGATTTAGAAAGTGTATCTAGAAACATTAATTAATTCATTATTAACCTCTAATACTGTAGATTCTGCCCATTAACATTAAATCCTAAGATTTCCCAAATTCCATAGATCATACACCCATGAATGAATGAATGAATGAATGAATCATTTATTGGCCAAGTGTGATTAGACCTACAAGGAATTTGACTTGGTGCATATGCTTTCAGTGTACATAAAAGAAAAGATACATTCATCAAGAATCATAAGGTACAACACTTAGTCATATGGTACAAATAAGCAATCAAATCATACTAGGGAACAGTCAATATAAATCATATGGATACAAGCAACAAAGTCGTACGGTCATAAGTGGGAGGAGATGGGTGAAAGGAAGGATGGAGGAGTAATAGTAATAGTAATGTAGACTTGGTAAATAGTTGGACAGTGTTGAGGGAATTATTTGTTTAGCAGAGTAATGGCATTTGGGGAAAAACTGTCCTTATGTCTAGCTGTTGTGGTGTGCAGTGCTCTATAGTGTCATTTTGAGGGTAAAAGTTTTAACAATTTATATCCAGGATGTGAGGGGTCTGTAAATATTTCCACAGCCCTCTGTTTGACTCATGAAGTATACAAGTCCTCAATGGAAGGCAGGTTAGTAGTAATTGTTTTTTCTCCTGTTCAAATACCAGTGTGTGTGAGTGTGTACGTGTATCTATGAAAAAGGTACTCTTATTATCTTTATTTTGAGATGAATTTAAAACATGCATTTGGGAAAATGTTCTTGGTATACGATGTTATTTCTTAAAATGTGAATGAAGAGGTTGTTGTTGTTTTTTTTAAAAAAATCCTTTTGATATTCTCAGATATGGAAAAATGCAGCAAGTGTCCACCCGATGAATATCCAAATGAAGACCAAATACAATGTATCCCCAAAATTATAACCTTCCTGTCTTACAAAGAATATCTGGCCATCATCTTGATCTCCTTTGCCCTAATCTTATTCCTAACCACAGGGCTTGTTTTAATCATATTCATTAAATACCTAGAAACTCCCATTGTCAAAGCCAACAATCGGGACCTCTCTTACATCCTCCTGGTCTCCCTCCTGCTTTGCTTCTTGTCTTCTTTCCTTTTCATTGGTCAACCAAGAATAGCCACCTGCCTTCTTCGACAAACAGTGTTCAGCATTGTCTTCTCACTTGCCATTTCTTCACTCTTAGCCAAAACAATCACAGTGGTGCTGGCTTTTCTGGCCACAAAACCAGGAAACCGAGTGAAGAGATGGTTGGGGAGGGGCTTGGCCAACTCCATCATCCTTTCTTGTTCTGCTGTCCAAATTATCATCTGCTCCCTCTGGCTGGTTATTTCTCCCCCATTCCCTGATTTTGACTTCCACTCCCAGCCCGGAGAGATCATCCTGCAATGCAACGAAGGGTCTGTGGTCATGTTCTACATCACCCTCAGCTACATGGGCTTCCTGGCTGCCATCTGCTTCACAGTAGCTTTCCTAGCCAGGAATCTGCCTGGGGCCTTCAATGAAGCCAAGCTGATCACTTTCAGCATGCTGGTCTTCTGCAGTGTCTGGGTGACTTTTGTTCCTACTTACATGAGCACTAAAGGGAAATACATGGTGGCTGTACAGGTCTTCTCCATCTTGGCCTCCAGTGCTGCTCTGTTGGGCTGCATCTTCATCCCCAAGTGCTACATTATCATTCTGAGGCCAGACTTGAACACCAAGGAGCATCTTGCAACCAGAAAAAATGTAGAAATGTGAGACAGAGGAATTTTAAGTCTTAATCTTTTTCAACAGTCTGTACCAAGAAAATGATCAAACTGTTTTCCATACATAAGTAAGTCAATGATTTTGCTTAATATATTGAAAGGGTGTTTGGAAGATAATAGCTCCAACTGAATAAAGTAAAACTCAAAGATGTCCACTGAGGTTTATTTCAATCCTTAAGGCAGAATATCTGCCAATGTCCTTAGCCTACTTGAAGACTGAGATGCCACACTCAGGTTTTTTTTTAAGTCATGGCATGTATGCAATTAGAATCTTGTTGCTATGGCAGGAATACTGTATGTTATGGGGGTATGAGTGGGTAAAATTCCATTATTCGGGTAATTTTTTTTAGGTATAAGAACCTTTCAATCTCCACCTGGGAGATATTCTTTCTATGACTATCTTGTCCAGTCTTCCTCTGAAAATCTATCTATCTATCTGTCTGTCTGTCTGTCTGTCTGTCTGTCTGTCTGTCTGTCTGTCTGTCTATCTATCTATCTATCTATCTATCTATCTATCTATCGTACTTAGGTTACAAATAAATGTACTTACTTACATATAAATACCCGCAAAAAGATAAGTTTTCGTTGGTATTTATATGTATGGTGTTCAGCTTTGTTCGGATATTTTCCCACGTCATTATAGTTGTGCTTTTAAAGTTGAAGTAACTTTTCAGCAGAATTTAAATTTAAAACAGAAACGGCTGTGAAAGTCTGACTCATAGACGAACACATTAAAGAAGCTTGATGATGGCAGATGAGATTCTGCCGAAACATTGCTACCCCTTTAAAAGCACAACTATAATGACCTGGGAAAATACCTGAACAAAGCTGAATACCATATATGTGTGTGTGTGTGTGTGTGTGTGTGTGTGTGTTTTCTGAGGTTCTCGCAGGTATTTGTATGTGGATCTTTGGTTATTCGGGTTTTCTCCCGTGTAAGATTGGAAGTATCTAGGCAACATTTCAATGAAGTCTCATTCATCATCTTCAGGATTGTGTCTTCGGCTCTGTGCTTCTCAGAGTAATGTGAGCTTGCAGCTGCTTCTTCCTTTTAACTGCTAGTGGGGGTGTGACTTGATTGGATGGGGGCTTGTCTGTGTTCTGATTGGGTGGGGGGTTGGCCGTGTTCTGATTGGCTGGTGGCGTGTTCTGTTCAGGTGGGGGCTTGGTTGTGCTCAGGTTAGTCTTAGTTGCTGGGGGATTTGAGCTGGTGAGCTGTGATCCTGCTGTTTGGCTTCCCATTCGTGGTCATGCCGCATCTTCCTGGTGGGTGTCAGTTCGGTTCATGTATGGCTCGGAGGGGTTTGAAGCGGGTAGTGATGCAGCTGCAGTGTGGCTTCTGGTCCGTGGTCGTGTCTCATCTTCTGTGTGGGTGTGAGTCTGCTTTCTACGTGGAAGTG